GTAATTTGTTTATAATTTTCAATGCAGATTCACTCTAAATAAATAATCTCTTGAAATTTGTTTTTATATCGCAATATATATAGCAGCAGATAAACAAAATATTTTATTTAAGCCGTAATATTGAGCATTTAAGCTAACTCTAATTTTTTATTGAACCTCGAATGATAATGTGTGATACCAGATGAGATGTATCCTTGTTGTTTTGAACTGTGCTATTTTTTTATTGCAGGTTTTCTGGGATCCACAGCGGAAGGGATCAAGGCGTGAGATGTTGGCTTGGACAGATGTACCTGTACACCACACCGACCTCTGCTTTTGCATGGATGGCTGATTACTATCATGTTCTGTATACGTTTTATAATAGCAAAACAGAGCACCTGTGACAGTGGAATCTATAGGTGTAAAGTAGTCAGACATCAGTACTACATTTAAAGTCACAGAGAGAAAGTTTTTTTTTTTTTTTATATAGAAGTTTCGAAGTTTTTTGACACCATTATACACCAAGAAATGTGCATAATTGGCCGAAGTGTTGCTGTTTATCAACAAAAATATGATATGAGTTTGCTAATTTGTAGAATAGAATGTGTGCACCTGCAACGAATAATTTAAAAAGGTGTAACTGATGTGTTGTGTTTGTGAGAGAAAGGGAAAAAAACATTTTCTCGAAGACTAAAATATACAAATTGCACTGTTATAGGGACTCTGTTTTGCTTCAATAATACTAGATATAATAAAGTGTCAGTCATTTTTAATAACTACTATTTATTTTGTATAACTATAAAATCATAAACAGTACCAGTCAAAAGTTTGGAAACGTTACTATGTTTAATATTTTTTGGAAGAAGTCTATTCTGCTTATAACCCTTGTGAAAAAAAAGTGCACTTTAGTGTACTTTTATAAAGTGTACTTATTACAAAAATAATACACTTTAAATGTATACACTTAAGTGCGATTTAAAAACAATTTTTTCGGGGTACTGAATGCACATTAAGTGTAATTTATTTCAAATATACCACATATTAAGTTGAAATAAAGTGTAATAAGTTGCAATCAAGTGTGATTTTTTTGGAACAACTTAATTGGTACTTTAATACAACTTTATATATACTTTCATAATTGCTTCTAGTGTATTTAAATTATAGTTAAAGTCCCCGTGAACCGGAAGTTGCAAACGATTTTTCTCCTGTGACGTATTTCCAAGTGAAACGGAATATTGAACAGAGGGCAGGGTTTTACTCTAGCGCTCCTCCTCTCCATCTCTCGCTCATAGCAAACTAACGGTTTGAGGGGAGTGGTTAAGCGTTTCCCCACCCAAGCTGTGAAACCTACGTCATCAGAAAAAGAAACCGTTCCAGACCGGAAGTAACTTTTCAGATTTTGATTAAAGATTACCAAGGTAAAACATTTTTTAATATATATTTACTTGCACGGATTAATTGTTCACCACAAGACTAGTAATATGCGCTAACAAAGTAAATAGGTTCAATTTTGATTTCACAGGGACTTTAAAGTGCACTAAACAATATGATGACACACAATTAATGTGATTAAAAATATACTTTGAAGTCAGTCAACAATACACTTAAGTGTGAATTAAATACAATTTTTTCGGGGCACTGAATGCACATTAAGTGTAATTTATTTCAAATATATCACATATTAAGCTGAAATAAAGTGTAATAAGTTGCCATTAAGAGTGATTTTTTGGAACAAATTAATTGGTACTTTAATACAACTTTACATACACTCTCACAATTGCTTCCAGTGTATTTAAAATACAGTTAAAGTGCACTACACAATATAATGATGCAATTAATGTGAACTAAAATATACTTTAATGTCAGTCAACAATACACTTACATGTGAATTAAGTGTAATGTTTTCGAAAAACTTAATGCATATTATATGTAATTGATTTCAAATGTATCACAGATTAAGCTCAAATTAAATGCTAATAGTTGATATTAAGTTATTTTTTAAATATGGTAAAAGTGTACTTCCAAATATACTGACAAGCAAATAATGTCAACAAAAATATACTTTAATTATATAATAGTGTACTTGTTTGTTACATTAAATACATTTTTTTAATTAAAAAAAAATATAGTTGCAATTTATTTCAAATTTGGACAAAAAAAAGTCTAACCTGTATAGTTACAATTAAAACAAATTCAATTTAAAACCTTTCTGTTGATGCACAAGAAAAAACCCAAGAAACAAACGGTTACAACACTTAAAATGAAAATTCTGTCATTATACACACCTTCAAGTTGTTTCAAACCTGTATGAATTTTTCTTCTGCTGAACACAATGACGATATTTTGATCACATATTCCTGATCTGATAGAATTGAAACCAATTGCAAACCCGAATCATTCGTCCATGAGTGATGCATAAATTACACACTGACTGTACTTGGTCTTAAACACGGTTACCCTATTTGGGCCTCAACTGCAGACGCCCCAAATGTTGGACCTCGTGATCAATATCCTGTCCTGTTTGGAGGATATAAGGGTCTGGAAGGTCTAAGTGCTTCTTTTAAGGGTTAGCAGCCCTCAAACAACAGCAGGCTTTCAAATTTGCTGTCTAGCGATAATCTGATCTCTCATCATAAAATAGTTAGTCATTTTTTCATTTAGATTGGAGGGACGTATGCCAAACCTGTGATTCTGCCCCCGCAGGTGGCCATCGGAACTTTGGGAAAGATCCAGGTGAGCTCCTTGCTTTCTTCACTCTTTAATAAAAAAAGGAGATGATTGTTGAATCATTGGCGCTATAGTAAATAATAGTGATTTTTGCTGCTTGGCTTTTCTATATTCTATAGTGAGTGTCATTAAAATAACCCATACATGCCGATATTTTGCACCCAAAATATCTTGTCAATGACATGATGCTCTATTAATCTATTGAAAACTTATATAAAACTTTTGCTGATAATTTACTCACCCCCATGTCATCCAAGATGTCCATGTCATTCTTTCTTCAGTCAAAAATAAATTAAGGGTTTTGATGAAAACATTCCAGGATTTTCTCCATATAATGGACTTCAGTGGGAACCAAACGGTTCAAGGTCCAAATGAGAGTTTCATTGCAGCTTCAATGGGCTTTAAACGACACCAGACGATGAATAAGGGTCTTATGTAGCGAACCGATCACTCATTTAATAAATAAATAAAAAAGTTTAAGTTTCATAAGCACAAATGCTCGCCTTGCTCTGTTCTGTGATGAGCGTTCGTGACTCTACTGTTCAAACTTCTACCGTTCATCAAAATGAACACATCTTTTGTCGAGTCATGACTCGAAGGGTCCTAGATAAGACCCTTATTCATCGTCTGGAATCGTTTAAAGCCCTTTGAAAAGTTTGCAGTTTGCACTGAAACTGTCTTTTGGACCTTGAACCGTTTGGTTCCCATTGAAGTCCATTATATGGAGAAAATCCTGGAATGCTTTCATCAAAAACCTTAATTTCTTTTTCGACTGAAGAAAGAAAGACATGGACATCTTGGATGACATGGGGGTGAGTAAATTATCAGCAAAAGTTTTTTTGAAAAGTGAACTATTCCTTTAATAGTAATGCTTAATGGTTACATCACATGACATTTTTAGAATCTTGATCTTGCAATGCTTTAAGTTTAGAACTGTAACCAACATGAATACAGTTCATGTTTTATATGAACTTTTTGTTTTATAATCACTAGTGAAGACAATGGACTTTTTTTAGCTACAAATTTTCCACTTACGTGACTGTGCCTTTAAATTTTGAGCCGTTCCTCTGGTCTGCTGCAGGTGCTGCCCAGGTTTAACTCGCGTGATGAGGATAGTGAAGGCGTACGTCATGAACGTCAGCTGGTCCACCGATCATCGAGTCATAGACGGGGCCACCATGTCCCGTTTCTCCAACCTGTGGCGGTCCTACCTGGAGAACTCGGCCGCTATCGTCCTGGATCTCAAATGAGATCTCTTCTGGAGTGTCTTTAGGTTACATACAACTGCAAAACAGCGTTGTGGCTATCGTCACGTTTCTGCTTTCGCATTCATTTGTGGGGAGGAAAAAAGACTTCTTTCCTTTAGTCTAGATGCCTTAATTCAGATTGAAGACTATGCATCATGTTAATGTTTGTTAAATGCTGCAAATTAAAAAAAAAAAAAGTCTTCTATGCATGCTTGCTTAGAAAATGAACTGAATTTGTTTGCTCAGGTTAGGCGTCTGAAATGGCCTGTAGGTTTTCTTAATGCACAGACGGAGACTGATACCGACTGGCTCTTGGACAAGCATCTGGACTGTAACATCTCATTGTTTGCCGACTTTCTCTGAGACTTCATTCACACAAGCCTCTATAGAGCTGACAGACAGCCACTTCATCCAAAACCACTTGTGTGCCAATGTGACTGGATGTCAGAGTAAAGAAACGACCATCATTTAACTGGTAAATGAACAATTGGACCACACATGGATAGACCACTACCATGTGTTGGGAATAAAGTTTTTTTGGTGCGCTAAATTGCTTTTCGCGTTATAATTTTCAAAATTTAATTTGAAGTATGTGTAAGACATGATCGCATAAGATGAACAAATTTAATTTAGGCTTGAGGCGCAAAAAAACAAGCCTTGTTGGTTTTCTTGTTGGAGCTCAAATAAGCTTAAGTGACAAGTGAGAACAAGTGTTTGAGCTTCGGTTTATCATATTTGGTCAATATTTATATATGATTAAAAGCCTAAATTTAAGCTGTACATCATAAAAAGCGATTGCGTAGAACTTTTTGAAGCAGCAAAGTTTTTGTTACATGGCATTTCAAAAAAGAGACTGAAATCTCTTCGGATTCATTAACTGTTGAGTAAATGACATCATTTTAATTTTTGTGTGAAATATCCATTTAAGAATCACATTTAGATTCAGATTTCAGAAACCAAAGAGCAGTTTTAAACTAGGTTTGAGCTATAACAAGGCAATCTTGTATATCTTTGTGGTTTTGAAATCTCAATCTAAATGCATGTCTAAAAGGAGTTTAAATGGCACCAGAAAACATCAACAGAGAAACCTTGTTTTTTTTTGTTTTTTGGTCCAAGCATTTACTTGGGACAGTAGTACATGACATAGTATGTGAGGTGTAGCTGGTGAAAGTCTGAGTCTTGCAGCGTAGTTGAATCTCATGAATGTCTAAAATCGATCTCGTTCACAGACAGCAAGGTCTTCAGAGGTACAAATACACATTTCCAACTGGAATGGATAATAAAACATCATACGAGAACTACCTGGGCATAATCATTCAGAAAGCCATCCTCCTTGCCTAATGCGTCATGACTTACGCAACAAGTTTTACGAATGAGTCACACAAATTCGTTGTGCTTCGTGTATCCGTCTTAAGCTTAATCTGAAAAGAAATGGAAGGTTTCGGTTCTCTTCCTGGAACCTCTGAAACCCTCAGGTGGTCTGGAAGTTGCTCTGGAAGACACTGACTGAAATAAAAAACAAAACTAAAACAAAAATGATCAGAGACCTGGAATGCTACTCGAGTGGAATGTGACGAGAGAATAAGGTCTTTAAAAAAAAAAAAAAAAAAAAAACCAACAACAAAATGGAGTTTCAGGAGGATATGTAGGAAGTCTGCTTTAAAATGAAGGCTAAGGAAATGTTCTCAAGGAATGCTTTAGATATTTGGCTAGCTCTTAACATGAGCCTGACACACTTAAAGCAAAAGAAAGTGGAGTTTTTCTCTTTCTGGGTCTACAAAAGCAGCACCTCTTTAAATTAGACTGACTATAAGACACATGAAAGAAAAATGTTTAGCAACAAACATAGGCATAAATTCGCATTTGGCATTTTAGATTCGGTAACTACGCCGGTGGTTTGTGTTTAAATCGACTTTGAATGGCAAAGTATTTAATAACTATAAAAGTCAAATTGGTATTTTTCATTCAGAGCCACCTGAGGGTTGGTCAAAAGCATGCAGAGGTCCAGGGTAAAAGTCCAAGGTTTAAAGCAACAGTCAAGGCATCTCTCATTCACATAAATAACAATGAAATGTACATTCAAAAAAAAAAGAAAAAAGTAGAAATTGACATTTTCATGAATGAGGGTAAACCAGTCCATGTGCTACATGAATGTCTTCATACCCTCCTCATAAAAGTCTTGAAAGACAAAGTATCCAAACCGATTGACTGATCACAACTGCTGCAATGAAATGTCCACAGTCGGGTGTTTGATTTGTATGAGTGCAGTCCAATCAAGCGGTTTGTGAACTGACGTATCTATACACACTGTCCTTGGAATTCACTTGAAGATCCACATATTGTATCTTCACAAAAATGATCAAGGCAGCAACAAAAGGAATTGAAAACAGTACAGTAACTAAGAAGTGGCAGCTCTTGTTGAGAGCTCATATGCGTCTGTGTGTGTGTGTGTGTGTGTCTGTGGTCAGGCAGCTTTGTGATGGATTGATTGGATAGCTTCTGAAGAGTTGAGGCTCACTGCTGTCTATGGTCCTTTAAAAAACACTTTATCGAGCCATTGCGGACGCAAAGGTCAGGTGTCGTCATCTGTGTCCTCTATCAGGACTTTGGTGTCTCGGACTTTGGACCTGAAAAAAAGAAAGCTCCTTGAGTTAATCAAACTTTCATCATGAAAGCATCTGTATGATGGTGCTCAGAAGCTTACAAAGAAATTTTAATTCACCAAATAGGGTCCCTGTTCTTTAGAGAGTTAAATGAACTCATATAAGTCAACAAATCAAGTCACTTTCTCAATCGCGTTTTCAAAGATTTGATTTGATCTTTTTGTTTTTAGAAAAACAATATTTGTTCTGTTACAGTAAACATTCATCAAAAAATACAAACCCAAACTTAGAAATACATTATTTCAATGCTAAAACTACTCATTTAATTCAAATCATAAACATTTTCTGAAGGTTAAGCTGAACTGAAACCAAAAAAAATGTCTTTTTTTTTTTCAAGCCCTATTTTGAACCCTCTCCAAAGCGTTGAATGTATCTAGTGTTTTAAGGATGAAGTTGCAACTCTAATAAAAGGATAAGCTTTTTGATTTTGGTATCTTGAATCTCAGACAATGCTATAGCATCTAAACTAGTTGTTCCCAACCAGGGGGGCTCTGCAAACTTTCAAAGGGGACTCAAGATAACAAAAAAAAAAAAAAGATTTAAAATGAGGAAAAAAAAAGGCATTAAAATAAAAAAAAGGTATTTATCATTTTGTTTCACTTCAAGAAGTGAAAATCCAGTATATATGTAAAAAAAAAAAAAAAAAAAAAAAAAAAACAGTAATAAAAGTATACATGAGGTAGGTTTATTTAAAAGTTATTTCTAGAGAAGTCAGGTCAATTAATAAAATCTTCAAACTCTGTGTTCAGGTTATAATGAATATAAATATAAAAGTAATGCCAAGCTCTAAAATCCTCAACATTAATTACTATCCAAGAATAAAAAACAAAAACAAAACATTTTTAATCAAATTCATTGATTAAAAAGTTTTGGATCCCCGAGGAGTGTTCATTTCATAATACTCCTGGACTCTTGAAATGCACAGTGGGGAAAATAATTATTTGATCTCCTGCTGATTATGCAAGTTCGCCCACTATAATTTTTATGGTAGGCTTATGCTAACGGATTGAGATAGAACATCAACTAAAAAATCCAGAAAAACACATTATAATAAGGTTGTAAATTGATTAGCATTTGATCGAGTGAAATAAGTATTTGATCCTCAAGCAACCAGCAAGAATTCTGCCTCCCACAGTTTGGTTGTGTGCCCGTGAGGATCACACATTAGTCCTGTCACTTTAAGAAAGTACTCCTGATCTCAGTGGAAACGTGTCCACAGAATCTGTATCTTCCATTCCAACCTCTCCACCAAAGAGCTGTTGAACATCAGGGACCAGATTGTAGATCTGCACAAGGCTGGAATGGGCTACAAGCTTGGAGATGAGGAAACAACTGTTCGTGTGATTATTCAGAAATGGAAAAAATACAAAATGAAAAATCAATCGTCCTCGGTCTGGAGCTCCATGCAAGATCTCGCCTCATGAGGTAACGATGATCACGAGAAAGGTGAGGAATCAGCCTGGATCTACACGGGTGGAGCTTGTTCATGATCAAGGCAGTTGGGACCACATTCACCAAGCAAACCATTGGTAACAGACTACGCCACAATGGATTGAAATCCTGCAGTGCCCCCTATTTAAGAAGGCATATGTTCAAGTTTACCAGTAAACATCTAATGATTCAGAAAAGACTTGGGAGAAAGTGCTGTGGTCAGAGACCAAAATTGAGCTCTTTGGCATCAACTCAACTGGAGGAAGAGAAATGCTGACTATGACCCCAAGAACACCATCCCTACAGTCAAGCACAGAAACATCATGATTTTGGGCTGTTTCTCTGCTAAGGCTACAGGACGACTTCACTGTAATAAGGGGTCGATGGACGGGGCCATGTACCGTCAAATTTTGTACGAGAACCTCCTTCCTTCAGCCAGAACACTGAAGATGGGTCAAGTCTTCCAGCATGACAATGACCCACAACATACCACCAAGGGGACAAAGGAGTGGCTCGAGAAGAAGCACATTGAGGTCTTGGAGTGGCCTAGCCAGTTTCCAGACCTTAATCCTATAGAAAATCTGTGGAGGGAGCTGAAACAAAGTGACAGCCAAGAAACCTTAAGGATTTAGAGAGTATCTATAAAGAGGAGTGGATCAAAACCCCTCTGAGATGTGTGCAAACCTGGTGACAAACTACAAGAAACGTCTTACCTCTGTGCTAACCAACAAAGTTTTCTCGACCAAGTACTAAGGCATTAGGGGTGCACGATTCAGAAAATGTCACGATTCGATACCGATTTTTTGTCTCGAGATTCGATTCAAAATCGATTTTCGATTAAAAAACGATTCTCGATTCAAAAAACGATTCGCAGGTCTACATAAATGTAGTTTACTTTTTCCTATGTGATTGATTGCAGTAGACATACTTTAAAAGAAAAGATTGATATTACTTTATATGTCTTCATACAAAAATAAAAACTTTTGCAACTAAAAAGTGCGAAGTGCCAAGCTTTGGCCAGCTTTTAAATACATTTAATTCAAGTTTAAAATAAAACTTAAATAAAAAGCTTTTTAGCTTTTTAAAAAACATTTAGCTTTAAAGTGCTGTAGTCAGATCAAACAAACAATTATGCTACATGTGGTTTAAGGAGTAGGCCTACTTCAGCTACCAGGTTGACTGTTGAAATGTGAACTCGACTGGGCACATTGAACTTCCTAAAAATATATACTAATTTCATAGAACCCTTGCGAAAATATTTTAAATAGATTTAAAAAAGCCACCGCTACTGGTAACATCTATGGTTAGATTGATTTGTTTAGATCCAGTGAAGTCGTTCATAGGCGCGTAATTTGCGGGTATCTCCAGTTAACTAGCAGAGCATTCATTTAGGTCGCTATTAAATAAGAGACCTGTTGTTTTCAGTGTCATGGATATACAGTGTTCTCTGTGGCTCGCGCAGTCTTCTCCCGGACGCGCACTTCAATCTATCGCCGTTGTGGAGACTCCGGTGAAATCACAAAATGAAATGCACACAAACGTGATGAACATATTCGGTTTTGATGAGAGAGAGAACAAACTATACGAGTGCGGTTTAGAACCCGTAACCTCTGACACGCTTGGCAAGAGATCTACAGAACTCAAACATAAGATCTGCGGATCGATGCATTTATTTACGGGTTGAGAAGAGTGGCTGCACAGTTTGACCAGCGGGCGGCAAGAACTTGCAATAACTATTTATCAGACCGGCCCTCGCAGCCTCGAAACACTACCGGACCACCGGTAAAAGTCCCGACTTACCCGATTCCCGATCCGCCCCTGCACGCCATTAAAAAATATAGCCTATAAATCGATGTTTTTTTCTGGATTTTTTGGTTGATATCAGTCTCTATCCATTAAAATAAACCTATAATAAAAATCATAGACCCTTCATGTCTTTGTATTACACAATTTTTGATGAAATGATTATTTTCCACACTGCAATTTACATAAACTATGAATGTCAGGCATTTAAATATTGTTGTGGACAAAGAGGTATCAAAAAGGACGAGAACCACTGATTTAAACAAATCTGACAAAATCTTTCATGTTTAAAATTAAATTCAGCTTATTTAGATTCCTCTGACATAGATTTATGTTCCATCTATAGCCAGCTGTTTTTGCTGTTCAAAGATTGTTTTAAAGCATTCCATGTCTGGATTTGTGTCTGTGTGGTTGGTGGTCCTATGTTGCACATACTGGGAGGAGAGGCGTGGTCTTCTCAAGGACATGCTGTAGCTTCTCTTCCAGTTCTTCTTTCCTTTCCTGTTCCTCACACCATCCTCCTGGTCCATCATTTGCTCCAGCAGCGTCATGTCATCTGCATTCAGAGGCGCTACTGAGATGTCCCGCACCGCTCTGAACTCACCACAGTTATTCAGGTGTTCGTTCTCCAGACGGAAGAAGTTCCAAACAAAGCGCCTGAAACAGATGACAGATTATGAGGATAAGTTACTTTACCATTTCCAGCTGAAAAATAATACGCCACTGATTTAAGGAGACATTCCTACGCTATCTCACGACCAATTCGTACGAATTCGTACGAGTGATTCAAAAGTGGCTAATTCGTACTAATTCATACGACCTCACTCGTACGAATTTGTACGATTTGTCTAAACCCACGTGACGGTTATGTTTAGGGGTGGGGTCAGGGGTAGGTCATTCGTACGAATTCATACGAATTGGCTAATTCGTAAAATATGTACGATTTAGCAAAATCGTACTAATTCGTACGAGTGAGGTCGTACAAATTGTTACGAATTAGCCACCTCGTAAAATTCGTACGAATTCCCGTGAGATTGGGTTGGACATTCATGACGATACAGGCCTGATGAATAAAAACAAATGAAATGGCTTCATAATTGTCATTGCTGTTGATTGGCCAATATAGCGTTCCGGTAATGTTAAAATACACAATAGCTATGTCATGAAAAACATGTTCATCAAAGAGGTCAACGATTAAACTCCCTGTAAAAGCAATTGTAAAAGAAAATTCTAAACATTATAAATGTTAAAAATGTATTACTAAAACACATTACAAAGTCTGTGAACTGTGAAGTACTGAATTGGGAGCAGCAGACATGCCCCCAGCATTTGAGAGAAGAGAATACTGCTCATTTTTTCACATTTTGATAGCTTTGATTGTTTTATTTACTTGGTGGCTTTTTTATCATTCAAATTTGGCTGGGTGGCTAATAACAAATGTTTCTGTGGTGTGACAAACTCAAAACGCATACTTCATTTTGACTTAACAGGGACTTTAACCACAGGTTGTGGGTAGGAATAGGTTAATGAGTCACAAAACCAGGCATTTGGATATATGCTCACCTGAAGACCTCCAGAGGTGCGAGGATAGTGGCCAAAATATCAGAAATGTTAGGGTATGCATTCACAATCCCAAGGGAAAGCGGAATGGTCCACGCAAAGCGCAAGATTACATCTTCTATTATGGCACAGTAATAGTAAGCCTGTTAAAAGAGAGCACACAAATTAACAAATACGAACTTGTCTACACAGTGTGCATGCTGTGGAGGGGTCTGTTTTCTACAAAAATATTTAAAAAAGACAACTTAAGTGCCAACAGTGTGTGTGTGTTCTTACTTTCTGTGGATATACTATCTCCTCTCTGAGAAGTGTGTTCTCCCCTGCGTTTTTGTCAAACAGACCCCAGTCCATCTTCAGGTCCCAGATTAAGGTGTAGCAGGAGTTAATGATCTTGCAGGCAATCATCAGATACAAGAAGACCTGACCTTCCTCAAAATCTAATAATGACGGGTTGAGAGAACGTCACAGACATAAGAGAACACAGCACTGCATGTTTAACCACATGATGTCCCTCAAGGTTTCGCTCAAGAATTTCATACACTATATTTCACCTGACAAAGAGTGCCTTTCACACTTGTTTTGAATGGAAACATAAAATGTCATGTTGGGTAAACAAAGAATTGCAAGTAAAAAAAAAATGTAACAAATCAGGTGCTTACTTTCATGAGTCTTATAGAGCGCAGTAAAGATGACCACGAAGAAAGTAGTGGAGTATTTGCCAGCATTAGCCAGGTGAGGGAAGGCACGCTTTGTGTCCCGGTAACGCCTCAGGCACTGCACAAACCGGAACCAGGCAGGCAAACATTGGATAACAGCTCGTACTCCATATGAATATGTGTGACAAATCCCTCCACCTGGATTGAAACAAAAAAAGCATTAACATGTCATCATTACCTGCCCAATAAAAGCATTATTAAATATGCAAGGACATTAATGTGCATCTTAATACCTTTACTCAATAGCTTCCCCTTAGAATTGGTCCAGTTCAGCTCTATACTGTAGAAGCAGATCATGTACTCCAGATCCATCAGAAGCACTACTAGAGAGTTGAGTTGGTCAGCCAGCCAGAAATCTGCAAACCCAACTCTGTGAAATGGAGCTGTAACCACTCGAAACTATGCACAGAAAAGGATGGAAAATAAAGGAAGAGAAAAGATGATTTGACCAATTTAATCAATAATTTACCAATGGAATAATGCAACCTTGAAAATCACAACAAATGCTGCTGTGTGATATGTATTTGGATTCTCCTGGCCCTTACCAGTAATTTGAGAAGCCAGAAGCGAGATTTGTAGTAGCATGTTTTGAAAGGGTTGATAAGGAAGAAGAAGAAAAACCCATAGAGAGCTAGAGGGTTCACTTGTATAGGGATCATTGTGTCCTTCGCGAACAGGCAGGACAGAATACTGACACACCAAAGAACTCCAAGGAAACCAGCAATCTGCACAAAAACAGAGTGAAAAATTAATGAGTATAAATAGGTTGTCGTCATATTATGGCTCGCCACTAGCCTGATGTCATCACACTCAGATTCTAGTCAGAATATGAATCTGATACTGCTCCATTGGGCTATGATTATGGGGCATGTTTCAACCGAAAATGCCTCTGCACTCAATTGGATAGACCTATAACTACTCAGAGGAATGGAGTAAGTGACGCATGTTGAATCATGTATGGGCGGCAAAAACATCTTTCCGGCAAATGCCATGATCGCGGTTCTCTGTTCCTCTTTTAAAAAGAATGCGCTGTTGATATCTTCTAACTACGGAAGCCCTGAACCGCAAGCTAAAAAAAAAAAAGTCAGTAAAAAAAAAAAAAAATCTGTAAAAATAAAAAATAAAAATAAAAATCTAGCATTTCGAGATTAAAGTCGAAATGTTTCGAGATTAAAGTCGAAATGTTTCGACATTAAAGTCGAAACATTGTGCATTCATAACAGTGCGCGTCCACTGGCTCAGAGTGAGTCGAACTGCCATGGATAAACACAAAATAGTAGCTTTTTACCTTTATCTGAATTACTTATCTTACTTTATCGTTATAAAATATAATGCGCCGGAATAGACTTTAGCCTATAGGAAAACCAACACGGAAAACACTTTTCAGACTGGATGGAGAAATCCAGCTTTATGAATGAATGAATGAATAGGGCATTTATACAGTGCTTTCATATATGCCTACACTCAAAGTGCTTTACAATCATATCAGAGAATCTCTCCTCAACCATAAGTGGTTATTAAATCTTAGGAAATCACAGGATCCGGCCAAATGATTGGATACAGAATGATGCACTTAAAATGTATCCAGAGCGTATTTACGTTGAAGAGGGAGACCGAACAGTTACTGTTGTGTTCTCGACCCAGATAGTGTTGACTAGACGAGCACGAAAACACCTCAGAAACACTGCCACTAGCACGTGTGACGTGTGTAGAATTTTGTTGAAAGCCCAGATAAAAGTAAAAAGCTACTATTTTGGGTTTATCCATGGCAGTTCGACTTCACACACACACACACACGCGCGCGCTCTGAGCCAGTGGACGCGCACTGTTATGAATGCACAATGTTTCGACTTTAATCTCGAAACATTTCGACTTTAATCTCGAAACATTTTGACTTTAATCTCGAAACATTTTGACTTTAATCTCGAAACATTTTAACTTTAATCTCGAAACATTTCGACTTTAATCTCGAAACATTTTGACTTTAATCTCGAAACATTTTGACTTTAATCTCGAAACATTTCAACTTTAATCTCGAAACATTTCGACTTTAATCTCGAAACATTTCGACTTTAATCTCGAAACATTTCGACTTTAATCTCGAAACATTTCGACTTTAATCTCGAAATGCTAGATTTTTTTTTTTTTTTTACAGATTTTTTTTTTTTTACAGATTTTTTTTTTTTTTTTTTTTAGGTTGCGGTTCAGGGCTTCCGTATCTAACAGACACGATGGAGGAATCAACACATCTCAATTCTCCAGCAGCAGCCACTATTGTTGCAAACTAATTCAAGTTTGTTGTATTGCTTTTACTTTGCTAGATATACTCAGGGTCTATGCACCCTTAAAGACATTGATTTACACATTGTGTTCTTTCTCATGTCTCCTTTAGATTGCACATCTGAAGAACCACAATCCTTCAGAATCTTGCAGAAGGAACTTATAGATTATCCAGGTGTAAAAAAGGCTGCCTCTCCACAGCCAATATAGTCTATTTATTGTAAATAGCAGAAGAAATCCTTCCGTGGTATGTTGTTTTTGTCGACTAGTTGGTCAAATGACATTAAAATGTGCCCATCAAATAATTCCTGCCATGTGGTAAGGCCTTAATGTGCCCCCAATCTAAAGCCTGAATCTATAGTCCCCAGGAGGAAGTCAGATACCACAAATAGGAGTAAACACTGAGGTGAGCTGAGGTCTACCCCCCAAGCGTCTATAGACTGCCATGCCTTGATACTACAAATTGTGATAGAGAGGCATGTGATTGGCTAAGGATCCACCCCCCCCTCCCCCCTATATAGTCTTCACTGTATAAATTATACATTGATTCTTATTAAAGCTACTATTAAAATTCTCAGTCAAGAGCAGTGAGTGATTTCCTGTTTTGTTGTTTAATTAACATTAAATAGATAACGTTAGTTCTCCCAAAAATTTAAATTGTCATCATTTACTCTCTCTCAAGTTGTTTTAAACCTGAATAAGTTTCTTTCTTCCGTTTAAGTTATTTGGAAGAATGTGGGTAACCAAACAGTTGATGTGATTTCCACAGTATATTTTTCCCTATGGAAGGCAATGAGGACCAGCAACTGTCTGGTTACCCACATTCTTCAAAATATCTTCTTTTTTGTTCAGCACAAGAAATAAATTAATACAGGTTTGGAACAACATTACAGTGAATAAATAATGAAAGAATTTTTATTTTGGGGTCAAATATCCCTTTAAGAACAAGCGGATGCTTTTTTATTATTAGGGCTACTGTCACTTTAAGACCTGTACGCGACACCTCTAATATACAAGGAGCATTTGACAAGCAGATTTCTCTCAATTTTCTCGGTTTGCTTTGAGTTTAGACCAGGGGTCTCAAACTCAAATTAACTGGGGGCCGCTGGAGATAGAGTGTGGGTCAGGCCAGGCCGCATCAAGCATCCCCCCCCCCCCCCCCAAAAAAAAAATGTATTTAAGTATTCCAAAAATGGAGCACAACTGATCCAATCTTCTCAATCTTTATTATTAATGTTTCCTCTGAATTTGAACATTCCTTTCTGTACATGATTGGTTCTTCATGAGCTGTCCTTCGGACAGTTGGAGTTAATTTTACAAACTTTCTTTGTCTTTTTCTTATACACAACATCTTTGTTGTGATGATAGTCATATTTGCTTTTTATTTTCTTTATACAACACTATTATATTGAATTTTTTCCCCCAAAAGGCACATTTCCTTTTATTATACTTAGAAAAACAATTACTGCTTTTGAAATACAAATAATTCTTTCTACACAGTGTCTCAGGCAAATTACTGACTTTGCACATATCAAAGCAAACCTTCTTATCAACCTGTTGGACCAAGTTCATTACATGAACTAGTTCAAAGTTCAATTCACAAATTTTAAAATGAACTAGTTCTTTTTTTTCCATATGTTGCTGCGAGCTTCTTTTTTATTATTAGGCTATTATTATTGCCACAGCCCATATACAACCACAGATAACAATCATTTTGTCGACGGGCAGAGTTTGCACAGACATGTAAGATTTTCCCATCCTCGCCGACCTCATAAAACCCTTTTTTAAATGATCTTTCGACGCCTCCTCGCTCCTCGGTTCACAAACACTTGAATGAACGAGTTCACTGTAACGTTCATCAGGCAGTAATACAGTAGGTTACGTTCAGTTCACGTTCGCCCAAAATATGAACGAGTTTATGAACTATCGTCATTGAACGCGTTCAGACACAGCACATATTACAAGATCAAAATGATTATTCTCACATTGTTTTAGAGCAGGGATATCCAACACGTCGCTCGCGAGCTATCAGTAGCTGTGGCCTGATTTGGTGGTGGTAGCTCGCCTTATGCCTGTTCACATATCACGCTCACATATTTTGCACGCTCAAGTAGGTTTCAAATAGGTGCGCATCAAGCGCCGAGCGCGCTCATAATTGAAGCGACGCGCTCATTTTTTTCCAGGCGCAGTACTTCGTGGTTGTCTATGACAACTATTGACAACAAACCTACGGTAAGCTGTCACGAGACTACATATGGTAGCCCATAAGGGATAAAAATAATAATAAAAAACGCGGCAAACGCAACGGCGGGCCGCACTAACATTAAACTTTAATATCAAGTAGGGGGCCACAAAATATCATCCCGCGGGCCGCGAGTTTGAGACCTCTGGTTTAGACATAACCAAATGTTCTTATGTAAACCTTGTGTGTATTTGAGAGTATTAGCGAAATAATACTCGAAAGATAACTTAGTCCAGCAACCAGGCGCTGTTAGAAAAGCTTTTAGTGCATGTGCACGTCGGGTGTTCGCGCTCAGAACAGCGCATCAGCAGTGAATGACATGTTTAACCGACAAGGCTTTAAAGCACATGCAAATTAACTTTTGTGAACTCGCTGAACAGATAGCCGTTCCTCTGCGTTAATATTGCGAGTATTTGTCGCGTTGTACACTAATGCTGTTGAGACGGAGGTGTCAGGACTGCAACTGATAGAATGCACCATATAGCTGCTACATATTTCTACAAAAGCAGTCAGCAGCTTGCTTGGAGCTAGGATCATAGCGCAAATTTGAAATATATCGATATATCGCCCAGCCCTGGTGACCTAACTGTGATGTTCTTGTCAACTGACAACGATACCAGCGCGAGAGCGACTGAGATACGAAATTGAGCAGGTGAACAAGCTGAACCTGCTCAATTTCAGCCAGACATTCTCTGGCTGAACGCAAATACGTCCTTGTTGATACTTTGAAAGGAACTTTCTGTACGCACGACAGTCAGTTATAGGTTATGTCCTCATATTCTCTCCGGCTGCCGACACCCGTCCCCCTTTTCTTTTTTTTCTTTTTTTTTTCTTTTTTTAACAGATCTGCATGATTCACGTAGGTCACATTTTCAGGTCGGAAAATCCGGAATTCCTGATTAATCCGGAAAAATCACATCCCTGAAATCTATTAAATCTATTGAGAAAAAGTACATTTATTAAAAAAAATTTGCTTTATCAGCTTTTATCAAACAACACGAATCTGATCACCTAAATTAACTAAACCAACCATTAAATTTCCTGATGGTTTTGTGTGTAAAGTTTATCAGAATCATTCGAATGGGGGTAATCTCGGTAGAATATTCATCTAAAGAAGAGAGATCCGACCTAGCAAAGAAATAGAAAGAACATTCCACCTTTCTATATCCACTTGAATGCACCCAAAATGTGGGAGCAATATAGTTTCATGAAGAAGAAAAAAACTATTAAAAAAAAAAACAAAAAAAAAAAACTAGGAAGAGATATATATATATATATATATATAGTTATATCAAAACCTCAGGAAACTATCTGAAAGGAAAAAAGGGTAGTGTTTGGGCTATTTGTTTTAAACCACCCAGGAATTGCCCATAATTTATTGAAAATAATTAATACATGCTGGGCCTGGGGTAGAGGACTCGCATATGTTAGTATTTATTCTCATAACTTCTGCTCTATGATGGTTTAACCGCTAAAGTAAATAAAATAGGGGAACATTGCCTTTTGTGCCTTCTCTTTCCAGTGCAGTACAAATTCATTACTTTAGAAAACTTAATACACTATAAATAAATAACATCCTAATAAATATTGTAATTCTAAAAGGTCACAAGTCTCCCCTTGTCTTTATTTCACAAAACATAAAAATAGTATTCACAGATTACCTCAAAGAGATGTTGGTGGGACAGGTTGTTGCGGGGGTTGAGCTCGAATATTAAGACGTGGTTCACGCCAGCCTGTCTCCAGCCATATGTGTTGATGCCCAACAAGAAGAGGAATTCGATGAGCAGGAAACCACCCCGATAAATTCTTACCAGGGGCCACACATTGCCCTCCTCGTCACCAAGCAGTTTTCCAACAACTACAGATGTGCAAAAGATAATTGTTATAATAGCAAAAGTACTGAAAGATTCAGAGCTCAGGGTTATATTTCTGTTATACATCTTTGATGCGGTAAAGAAAAGAATTAGCCTTGTGAAATTTGACTTGATTAAGTAACTATCATTAGAGGTTATATACCTGTGATGATGACTGTGACTGTTAAAGCGACGAAGACGCCACAGTAGAGTCCTACTCTAAAAGTGGTCCATGCTGGTGCAGGCTAAGATAAAGGGCACAGGATGGGTAGAGGTTTATGTCCTTTTAACAGTACTAATGAAAAGGTGTTCTAGTGAAGGTCACAGAGTGTTCTACCTGCGCTGCTCCCAGCGGGGGCACTCGGAGCCTCTTCATAGCTTTCTGTCGGTCTCCTCCTTCCAGCTCTGCGGTAACAAGAGCCTGGGGATTTGAGAACATGCTGTTAGAATAACTAGCCACTGTGCTAATTTAATGAGGCTGTCAAATTCAATTCCTCATTAAAGCAGAGAGAGGTGAGGTATTTTATTTTTTAAACGCTTTATGTTAAAATGGAAGTGTACGATACCTCGGTTTCAGAGATGAGTTGAGTGATCTTCTTACAGGTGTAAAAAGGAGCCACTTCAACATGAAGCTCACGCCAATCAGCACCTCGCATCGTCTCAAAGATCTTGTCATGTTTCTTTAAAATCTTCCGAAAACCTGTGAAGTTTAGATTCTGACAGGGAGAAACCATTTTACTTTAAATGAGACTGATTTAGAAGCCAAAAAATTTTTTAGAAGATAAAAATCAGAAGAAAAAAAAGAACAAAAAACAACATGACGCTAACTGGATATTAATAATATGGGAATTACTTAACTGTGTGAATAGTTATCATTTGCATAAATCAGGCATGTGATTGGCTAAGGACAAAAAAGCAGTAAAATGTACCGAGCGCCCCCCCCCCCTCCAATCAATATATCAATATATATCCCAATATCTTTTCCGCAAAGTGAGAGCAAATGTTCAATCAAAGTCAAATATAGTCTTAATGTATAAAATATACATTGATTCTTATTAAAGCTACTATTACAGTTCTCAGTCAAGAGCAGTGAGTGATTTCCTCTGTGTTTTGTTGTTTAATTAACATTAAATAGATAGTTCTCCCAAAAAATTTAATTTTCATCATTTACTCTCTCAAGTTGTTTTAAACCTGAAAAAGTTTCTTTCTTCTGTTTAAGTTATTTAAGTTATTTGGAAGAATGTCGGTAACCAAACAGTTGATGTACCCCAGTGATTTCCATAGTAAATTTTTCCCTATGGAAGTCAATGAGGACCAGCAACTGTCTGGTTACCCACATTCTTCAAAAAATATCTTCTTTTTTGTTCAGCACAAGAAATAAATTAATACAGGTTTGGAACAACATTACAGTGAATAAATAATGACAGAATTTTTTATTTTGGGGTCAACTATCCCTTTAAGAACAAGCGGCTGAATTTGTATTATTATGGCTACTGTCACTTTAAGACCTGTACGCGACACGTCTAATATACACGGAGCATTTGACAAGCAGATTTCTCTCAATTTTCTCGGTTTGCTTTCAGTTTAGACATAACCAAATGTTCTTATGTAAACCTTGTGTGTATTTGAGAGTATTAGCGAAATAATACTCGAAAGATAACTTAGTCCAGCAACCAGGCGCTGTTAGAAAAGCTTTTAGTGCATGTGCACGTCGGGTGTTCGCGCTCAGAACAGCGCATCAGCAGTGAATGACATGTTTAACCGACAAGGCTTTAAAGCACATGCAAATTAACTTTTGTGAACTCGCTGAACAGATAGCCGTTCCTCTGCGTTAATATTGCGAGTATTTGTCGCGTTGTACACTAATGCTGTTGAGACGGAGGTGTCAGGACTGCAACTGATAGAATGCACGATATACATATTCATACAAAAGCAGTCAGCAGCTTGCTTGGAGCTAGGATCATAGCACAAATTAGAAATATATCGATATTTCGCCCAGCCCTGGTGACCTAACTGTGATGTTGTCAACTGACAACGATACCAGCGCGAGAGCGACTAGAGACAGAAATTGAGCAGGTGAACAAGCTGAACCAATTAGACATTCTCTGGCTGAACGCAAATACGTCCTTGTTGATACTTTGAAAGAAACTTCCTGTACGCACGTCAGCCAGTTATGGGTTATGTCCTCATATTGTCTCCTTTTCACTCCGGCTGCCGACACCCGTCCCCCCCCCTCTTTTTTTTTTTTGACAGATCTGCATGATTCACGTAGGTCACATTTTCAGGTCGGAAAATCCGGAATTCCGGATTAATCCGGAAAAATCACATCCCTGATAAATGAGCAGAAGGTTCCGTCTAGTCCTTTATATCAAATGTCATGACTAAATTCATTACATGAAATTTTCCGAACATCAGTTTGTGTGCTTTCAGACCTGGTAGTTCTGCAGCAGGATAAGGCTGAGGTAGAACTCGCTGAAGGCCAGCTGCAGGTCTTTGATATTGCGATGTTTGCAGCGCTCCTGCTGCGACAGGTGGAAGACAGCGCGGCGGCGGTGCAGGCCTGTGGCTCGACGGCTCTCCCGCTGAGCGTCCAGAGACGACTGCAGCTCATTCTGTAGCGTGGCGAAACGCCGCTGTGCTTCGGCAAGCTTCTCTGTGTCATAAAAGAAGGTAAGCATGATGCATGTAATGAAGATGGATGTAACTACGGTCAACAATAGAAATATAAGTCAAAACAAAATTGCAAATGAACAGTAACCAATCAACTTTCCTGGCCTATACAGTTTATTTTAGGTTGAGGTCAGCAATTCCTCCCTCCCTATCCTTCTACCATCTCATTCTGATAAGTAAATCCCACTTTTCAAGATCCAATCAAATCCTGAAGAATAAAATCAAATAACTATTCACTAAACTACATCGAATTGTGATAAAATTTACCTTGATAACGATGATAAGCTCTGGACATTTTTACTCAATATTGGATAAACCTAACAGCCTATCACACACCATAAATGAAGACGACAACAGACAGTGCATGTTGGTTTAACTTTGAGAAATGATGACAGTAGTATATCACTACTGTATATACTAAAATGTAAAGTAGTAATTATAAAAATTTTATTTCTAAAGAATATTACACAACCAAGATATTCTTTCATCAATGTTTTAAAAGCATTATGTGCTGTTGAGCAGCATCTTATTTGACAAAATATGCAATATGCAAAAAGTGCAATGTTTTGTTGTAAATTAATTATAATATTTTCATATGAGTAGATTCTAAATGCTTGATTAAATAGTTAAAAGTTTCTATAAACTTTTTTTATTAAGTCACAAAACTCAGAAATTAAAAGGTAGCTACTCTGTGGGAGTTTACATTTATTCTTGAGGTCTAATAAAAATGTGGAAAGCATTTCCTTTCGAGTTAATGGTAAATTAATATAGTAATACATATTGATATTATATAATGGGGGGGGGGTCATAAATATCAAAATAATATTTTTGGCCATATCGCCCAGCCACACTATCCACATTTTATCCTCGCTGAAGATCATATTTCACTCAGAAATGTGTTGCAGAACAAAAAAATAGCAAAATCTATTTTAAGTTTCAAGTGAAATGATATCCGAGCCACAGTTTGTCTACAATACTGGTTTATTTTAAGGTGATGTAATTACAAGTGCTAGGCTACATGTAGTCGCCAATTATAATTAAAGTAAATTATGGAAAATAACAAGTAACCAACCCTAGACCAAAACCTAAGCTTAACCCTATGATAAATACATGTATTCAATCAATATTACTCAGCAATTATGTGTAATTTCACTGTAACATGAACAACTTCATTTTAAAACAAAGTGTAACCCAATATACAACTGGACAAGAGCATACATGAGAGTAAGCGAACCATGTGAGTGAGAGAAAGAGAAAGCAGGTGGTTATTTAATGGGATATAATAAAATAACAAGGTTAAATAACCTGCTTTAATGGCAGTCCTGGCTTTGAATCAGGAGCTTTACTGTCTGTTTTCGAAAATTTAAATCTCTGTGTTATGGGTAATCTGTCACTGTAAATAATAATGACAAAAAATGGAAACAACAGGGAGCAGACACAAACTGCGAGTTTACATCAAACAAGTCCTGTTTACACCTGGTTACCTGAATAGAAAGTGTTGATTTTGGCCAGCTCCTTCTCACATGTTTGGAAGAACTTCTCCTCAAACTTGGCATAGTATCTCTTGACGGTGTCTTCATCTGTGACTAAAAGCAAGAAGATAATGTGAAAATCTAATTCAGGAAAAAGAAAGAAAAAGATGGGGGAGAGATAGCAATAAATATACTGAACATGGGGAAAGAAGAAACCTGTGGAAAACATTGTTCTGTCTCACAGCTGAGGTTGTACGTATATTTGAGGGAAGCAGAGCGGTACATGTTGGGCCTTTTTTGCACACTGCCCAGAGAAAACGTTATTCTTGTTCAGATCACAATTTCTTTGCAAGAGATCTCAAGGACAGAAGTTTGGCTCAAGCCATTACAAGCATTTAGAGAAGATTTGAATGAACCTTTTTACAAGTTAAACCTGATTAAAATAAGGGACAAAAAAAGCATGAATCAAATAAAGTCATCACACAGGTTGTGAACATTGGATTACACCCTTGTGTGGGTTACTCTTTCACACCAATCATCTGGTAATCTTGTTGAATTCCCAGGACATAAGTTAATATTTGTGTGTAAACCATGATTAAAAAGATATTTTTTAATTTTTTAACTCTGTATTTACTGTCACTGTCAATTTAACATGTTCTTGCTAAATAAAAATATTACACTTAAAGAAAAAAAACTAAAACTTTCAGACCTCAAACTTTTGAACATCTTTTGTGTTCTGCAGTAGAAAGACGTCTGTTGAGGTTTGGAACAATATGAGGGCGAGTAAAATGACTGAATGTTCATTTTGGGGTAAACTAACACTTCATGGAATCCCTGTATAATTATTCTGCGTCATGTCTTTCCAAAATCCTTAGTCTGAGAACCAAGAGTCAAGGCTAATTAAGTCAATGTGGTCTTAAATCACAATAATCATAACAGTTCTTGGGTCATGGCTTCAAACATTTACAGTTTGAGGGCATGTGAAGTTTCTGTTGACTGTAAATACTTTTGACACCATAGAGACGTCACTGCGTGATATTCCTCTCCAAGGGACAAAACACAGTGCGCAATGACAGCAAGTCTGGCTGATACTGTCCAGACGGACAGACAATGAATCACTATCTCAGGACTCTCAGACTTGGGAAAATGACTCATGGCTTGAAATACAGTACCTTAACTGGGAGCATTGCCTCCTAAATTGTGAGTTTCACACTAGCCAAGTTTCCATCCAGTTTTATCATCAACTAAAAGTGAGTATGCATTACAAAAAAATAAGGTTTACCAAATTTACCAGTCGGTTTTCATCCAATAGGCTCTATGCACGAACCCTGCTGACGTGTGGCCGAAAGAATCTCAGTCAGCGTCTTTACTTCCGGAAGCGCGTTCTGCAGGCCAAGTGTATAGCGGCAAAACTTTAATAAAATCCGTTTTCTCAGAAACGGAGACAACGATTTTAGAAACGATGATTCGCTAGTCGAATTTCGTACGATATGAGAGAATACTAACCCTCAAAGTTGTTGATGTAGCTCGAAATATATAATTTAAATAACTTCTCTTTTTTACTCTTGTGTGACAGCTAACTGCCTCACAGTGTTGTTAACATCATCCGCGTTAACCGCAGGACGTTTTTATAAACAGCAAGTGTAATTTGACACTATCTCCACCTAACGCAAAACCGGCTTCTGACCATAGACTGACACAGCACCAGATGTAACTGGGCGTGCTGAGACAAACCCGGAAGCGATCGTGCATAGAGTCTATTGGCCTTTTACCAATAAAATGGAGTGAGCAATGACATCATCCTTAAGAAAAATTGCATTGTCACATAGAACCATTTTCAGAAATAAAACTTAGGAATTTCACACGGTTCCAGTATTTAAAAAAACATCGGTTCCAAGCCCTAAGTGTGTATGTATATCGGGATCACGCACTGTCCAAGGCATCTGTGCTGCGCCCGCTTTAGATCTGTCAGTCAGCGCGACTCCGAGGAAGACCGTTTTATTTACATCAGCATGAGATTGAAAATCACATTTAATTCAGACTAATGCCACTAAGAATTCGCTATAAATATATACAAAGCTGGAATACTGCGCTTCAAAACAATGCCAAACTTGTGCTGACAGGAAGCGTCAAGATGCGAGCAGAGAAAAACAGGAATATTCATGGACAAAGGAAAGGTACTCCTCTCAGAGAACACACAAATAACGAGGTGTTTAATCACTATTTGGAGCATCGGGATCGCTAGACGAGGGCTTAATGAACTCATCTTTGTGAAAACCACAAATTCGACCAAAAATTACATTTTTGACGCCTGTAGCCCGAAATTAGCCTGTGCACATTCAGACTCAGCACGGGTCACATACAGTTGTACTTGTAATCAAAATAATTCAACCCTAGTGCATTATTCATTCACTCATTCACAACATTTGAAGTATCGATATAGAAGTTAAACTTGAAAAGATTGTTTCGACGTTTGCAAAATTTTATACACATTAAATACATCGGTAAACATGTGCTAAAGTTTTATCACAAAAAAATCCTTGGATGGAAACCTGGCTACTGGTATACAGACTCTTAAATAGTGTTGGGCGATATGCTCCATTTTCATATCGTCCTATCGTCAGCCTGTAAGATCGGCGATATTATCGTGAGGGGGCGGGGCTAACTTATTTGATTATTAACTTGATTATTTAGCCTACTCATTAATTTGCTTGTTTTATTAGCCTACTTCGTTTTATATACGAGAATCTTTTTTCTATTTTGCTAGCAAAGGTGGAGTGTTTATTAATAGGATCAGGTTATTTCCTGGTATAGTGAAGTAAAAAAAAGAGATCCTAATCCTTTTGTTTGTCAACGGGAAATTTACGGACACATTATCCTATTCTCATGCCATTACATGCAGCATTTTGGTCTATTTCTGCACGAGATGAAAACACGTTTTAATAATTTCTTGGGTCAGAAAGAGTCAGAGTTTGCGATATGTGCCCCCCTACCAGTGCGCTCTCTGCGCACTTCACATGCGCACTTCAGTAAGCACAAAGTACGCGGGTTAATGTGTTTTAATGCCGATAGAAACAAGAGCAAGGGCTAAACGTCTAGCTGAGTCGATCGGTTTATACTTATACTTATGACTTGACTCTGATAAAGGAAACGTTTACATGACCACATGCATTGTCAAGTTTATTCAACATAATCAGGTTAAGAACGTCGTCGCATGTAAACGCGCTCTATCTCTGAAAGTGAAAGTAAAAACGGACTGCTTTCGGCATCTGCATTAACGCCGCGTTCCCTCAGAGACGACGATGATAACGGTAACTATAATACTATTTTAGTGATACTATTATTAATACTATTTAGTAATTGTATTGTTTTTAGTGTTAGTGTCATTAAACGTTTTGTTAATGTGTTACAGAAACAAATACTGACGAACAACGATGCCGTTTTTATCTTGGATCTGTAGGAAATTGAATTTTGCCTCTGTTAAAACGAGCACACTTGATAATTTGTGAATGTATCACCTTGCGATTGAATTTTGATGTGGGATGTTTTTTAGTCTGTTTTAAAACCATTCTCTTAGAGGAGTCCTCATTAGTGCGTGTGTTGTTGCAATTGTTATGAGGTGATGTCGTTATAAATTTAGGCAAGGCAAATTAATTGTAGTTCCTAATATTCATTTAATAACAATACTAGCTTTATAATAATAATAATAGGCCTAATAATAATAATTTAATACATTATGGTAAAACGAGCCAATTATCGTATTGATATCGTCAAAGGCATCTGCCATCGGCGATATGGATACTATCGTCTATCGGCACAACCCTACTCTTAAACTCTTAAAACAAGGAGGCCAACGGCGAGAAAACCGTTACATGAGTAGACTCACAATGTGTGTAGAATCCACATTGAGAGGTGAGGAGGGAGAGAGTGGTTTACTTTACACAATATTACTCATGTTTCATCTGTCAAAGCTCAAGTACTGTGGCAGGTGTGTTTGAAAAACACCATCATCTAACAAAACTAAAACAATGTGAATCCCAGGTGTGATTCTTGAAACACTACACTCACAAAACAGCCCATAATCCAACACTTCCAAAACAAACACTGCTTGACTGACAGGGGTTTATTAGGCTTTGTTCATAAATTAGCTACAATGTTTTTCCAATGATTCATTGACGTGCAATGTCTATTAGGTAGATAAGATTTATAAGGAACTGCTTCCATGATCAAAGTACTAAGCCATAGCGGTCACACGTGTTAAAAAATGTATCTGAGCAAGCAGTTTTCTTATCACATGACACTTATCAGTTACTATAAAACCCTCAAGTAAACATTTAAGAATTCTTTTGGCCATGAGGTTTAGCGAGTTCAACACTTTGAAGTAAAAGGGTTAAGAAGATTCTGGGTTATTCTCACAACAAACTGTTTTTAAAAACTGATCTTGTGTTAATACTGGATTACTCCAGCTCTACAGCAGGGAGTCCCTCTCTGTACTGGTTTAGGTAACCCTCCCCAGTGAGACCTTCAGCTGGGTCACCGTGTCTGGCCTGCTATGCAAACACACGGCTCAGTTTCATATCAGCTCAGCAGGGATTAACATACACAGCTCTCTCTTTTAGCTGGAGCTCCTGAGAGAGAAAATAAACTACAGTGTCTCTGTCCTTGAGAATTATTTAACCGAAATCTTCCAGGGAATGCATGACCTTGCAAAAGAACCCTCTGTGATTATGTAGACCTATAACACAACAGTTATGGACTTTTGACTAGTGATAGATTGATATATCTGCCAAAATGGCCATTTTTACATTACTGGCCGATAACATCAGCAAAAAGTCACGGTAAAACCTTGATTCTTTCGCCATTCCAGGTCTGCGATTAAACTCGCCAAAAATAGCTAAAACTAGGGCTGCCACACATAATCAATAAAAATGACAATACAAATCATTGACAACTAATGTCACTATTGATTAGTTGGGTGTATGAGCTGTGCATGTAGATAAAAAAAAGACGGATAACAACATTGACAGGGTTGACAAATCTGACAATAATACTTTGTTAAAATGTTACATTAACAACATTTGGGCTTAGATTACCATATCTATTTGAAATTCTAC